TAATTATTATTCAATTATTCAATTATAAATGCATACATGTACAGAAAATTCACTCACTCCATTCTGATAAAATAAAACAAATTGTTTTATTTCTTTAAATACTGTGAGTTTATTGTTTTATAAAATATATTAAGACACATATGGGGATATGAACATGCATTGCATTGTTTTTTATATTTTCATTATAAATTTCTCAACTGTTGAGTTAATTGTAGCAGCACTGAGGTATTTCGCATTGATAGAGCCGGTTTCCTTCAGTTTAGCAGCTTTATTGACACTCTGTGATCCAGTTCAGTCCATATATAAACAACGCAGATGTGTGTTGATCGCTGGAAGCCACATCCGGGTCAGCGTCCAGAGCTTGTGTGATGATGAATGAGTCTGTGATCATCACATCTACAGCAGGCCATACACACAAACACAGGAATGAATAAATGTATGAATGAATGAATAAATAAATGCAATATTAATATAACATATATAAATAATAATAAATACATATAATAATAATAATAATAGCTATAATAATAATAATAATGAATATTCTTTATAGAAATAAATATAAAAAATAGTAAATTACTAAAATGATTAACAATAAAAAATATATAATAAGTTTTTATATAAATGGATATAAAAAAAAATATGTCACTACAGACACTATTGCTTCCTGTAGTGGTGATTATAAATAAAATATAAATATGCACAATTAAATATTAATAATATTATATATTATATTAATAATATAAATTAATAATAATAATAATAATAATACATTTATTAATTACTAGTTTTAATTAATTTTAATAGTTTTTAGTCACTAATAATAATTAAAATATAATAATAATATTTTTTTATAATTGGGTATAATATATATATATATAGAGAGAGAGAGAGAGAGAGAGATTGATTAAAGTTACTAAATTGGAGCTTTAATGACTTTCTGATTTTCAGATTATATAGCTCCCTGTATTGTGAATATAAATACAATATAAATATGCACAATTAAAAATCTATAAATAATAATAATAATAGTAACAATAACAACAAAACAACAAAAACAATAATAATAATAATAATAATACATTTATTAAAATTTTAAATTTTTTATTTTTGGTCATTTAGCATTAAAATGACTAATAATAAATATAACAACAACAAAAACAACAACAACAATAATAATAATGATCATCATCATCATCATAATAATAATAATAATAATAATAATAATACATTTTTGTTATATAAATGGGTGTAAAAATATATAAGTTGACTAAAATGACTAAGTTGGGGCTTTAATGCCTTTAATGTCTACAGACACTATAGCTCCCTGTAGCAGCGAATATAACTCCATTTCCTGTGATTATGTGATGATTATGTCAAATCTATTCTAGCAGATTTTTTTCTGCTTTTGTATTTGAGCTGAATATACAGGTGTAACATAATTGTTTGAACTGAGAATTAGTTTCACTTACTCATTAAAATATTTAACATAAATAGATGGCACATATGTATGTAAAAACAAAACACCTTCATCAAGGTAAAAAAAAAATGAGATCAACTCGTGGGCCCAGTTTCATGAACACAGCCACTAGACTGTGTCTTAAGAACTAGTTTGAATAACTAGCAGTTAGGCTAGATATCTGTCACTTTTATGATTCATTATGGGCCAGTCTATTTTTTTGTAACTGACTTAAACAGTTATGACCAGTCTTGCAGAAAACAAATGAGACGACTGACTTCTCCGGACTAGCAGTGTATGCATGGATCCCTGGACAGTGGACACACATGAGCACTAATGAGTGAATGTGATGCACTGATGTGAGTGTGTGGCTGACCCCGGCATCCGTCCTTCCTCTCCGTCTCCTCCTGCGTTTGCCCTTCTGCCTCCTTCTGCTGAGGAAGAGCATTCTGAGCCTTCACTTCTGTCATTTACAAACGTCAATCAATCAATCAGTACTCACTGCTGATTTCTCAGGTGGTGTCGTCTGGGCCTGAATGACAGAAAGTGAGTCAGATAAATAAATAGAAAGCAAGATGCGAGTGAGAGCAGTGAAGTGACCGATGTACCTGCACTCACAGCTCTGGTGCTCCAGAAACGAAAGCAGCACATATTCTCTGCTCCTCTCCGCCGGAGTTATCCTCAACAGCTGATGAAAAACACAGAGCATTCGACATCAAAACATGAAAGAATAGCTCATCCAGATAGACAGAGAGATAGATAGATAGATAGATAGATAGATAGATAGCTAGACAGATATATATATAGATAGATAGCTAGACAGATATATATATAGATAGATAGCTAGACAGATATATATATAGATAGATAGCTAGACAGATATATATATAGATAGATAGCTAGACAGATATATATATAGATAGATAGCTAGACAGATATATATATAGATAGATAGCTAGACAGATATATATATAGATAGATAGCTAGACAGATATATATATAGATAGATAGCTAGACAGATATATATATAGATAGATAGCT